TTCTTCATGTCAGCCCCAATTTTGTATTGAACTTGGCACCTATAACTACTGTTCAGCAATCACTGAAACCACTCAAACGTGCAAGAGTCTGGAGAATCAATAGAAGAATATTGTGTTAACAAGTGCACAAGGTATCAAATCTAATCACCTCGTTACAATAAAAGACACTCCCTCAAAAATATGAAGTTTACCATTTAAATATACACACACACACGTACATATATGTATGTGAAGAAGTAAAAGATATAGATTTAAAAACTCTGCATTCCATCATTTGCTAAAAGTTTCTACCATTTTCTGAGGTGACCTATCTAGGGAAAATGTATGTTATTTGTTCCCTGAGCTGTATATGATTAGTTCTTTCAACATACACAGAAATTATGAAGGCTGCTATGGTGAAATTATCTGTTAAAATCCAGTCAAAATTAACAATAAAACAGGGTTAGTTTGGGGAATCTTTTACACTTTTATCTATCTACACTCAATGACAAAAGCTATCTGAGAAAGCTACCCATCTGTAGTTAACTCATATGGTTTCAAAAATGTAAGAAACCAAATTTAGTCACTCATATTTTACAGATAACTTCCTAATCTTTACCTTGCTCTTGGTAAAAGTTGCATTATGGAGGCATGTTAGCCATCCTGACTCTTACCTTCATAATCAAGAGAAATAAGCCAGAATCACTTACATTAAACTTTATTTCAAGAATGTACAAGTGATATTTAGTTGCACAGTGTTTTAATTTCACACGTTGTCAGATAAAGTGTCAGATAAATTTATTAGTATATAAAATTCTTGTTCTGTCAAATCATTTCAGAAATCACAGATCTACTATCGTTACCAGACAATTGAACAGCTGCTGCTATTTTAGTATACCCTCTCCAGCTCACAGAAGTGTGAAGTGGTTCACACACACCATAGAAGCTTAGTGGTTCCGCTATACAGATCTCCTCCTAGTCAATGCTCCAGGGCAGCAAGTAGCTCAGTCATAATTGCCAATATTTTGTAAGTACTGATCTTAGAATCTTTTCTTATTTAGCTGTGTGAAAATATTTTTAAACTTGATCATTAGCCATGAATTTGGAGATTATTTTCATCTAGGTTTGAATTCTTATGGGCTTCTATTTTCCAACTGTTCTGCATTTTCTGTGTTGCTACTTGACATTCCTATAAAGAATATTAAACAGGTTCCCCACTGCAGATATTAAGATCTCAATTTTTACCAATACTGTCCCCACCCCTAAACTCCACTGACACTATTTTAAAACTAGGATCTTACGACCTACAGTAAAAACTTAATTTACAGGTATTTTTAAGCAGTTGTAAAACTCATTTATAAATAAACAGTAAAAGAACAAAATGGAACACCGATTAAACGCATGCATGCATATCACAACACATGACAAGACTTGCTAAGGAAGACTATCCATGTTAATTTTTCTAAAAGCTTACTGTATACTGTGAAAAGGTAATTAAGAATACTCTGGCAATGAAGGAAGAATTCAGTCATTTTCAACCATGAAAGAAGATAAGCATACTTGGCCCCCAACTGCCATCACTGTTAGAATGACGAACATGTTAATGTTTAAAGAAGCTTTGGTTGTCCCAGCCCATCTTTCAAACTACCCCCATTAGAATAAAGAAACAGAGGTAAAGAGGCTTAATTTATTAAAGCACAAAGTTTGTTTTTGTTTTTTAATCTGTGCTTAGCTTATGACATCTATCAGAAGTTCGTGGGGTTTTTTTGTTTTTTTTTTGTTTGTTTTTTTTTTTTTTTTTAAAAAGAGACAACCACAACAGCAACTATATTTGTTCACTTAACTCACTCTAAGCTCCCCACTGATCCATGGGAGAAGGAAAAAAGCGCCCTTTTCTAGCAGGTAACCTTATTTTGTAGATGGATGTCATAATCCACAAGGGAGTCACTCAACTGTTATAAGCATCCATCCCTTCACACAGAAATGTATCAGAAGATCTATAGCAGTTTTTTTTTAATTACTCACCTTCTTCAGTGTTTATATTTACTTTGAGAAGACTGCCTGAAGAGCTACAGTAGAGAGTCTACTACTATTGAAAACAGGCAAACGTTTGACCTCTGCTCCTCATTTATTTTCCTACAAAAATATTTTGTGACCTGATCTAAATTAGTGTCACCAGCTATGCTCCATCCATTTCCCATTCTGGCTTAGAAATTACTTATTTAAGAGGAATGACCTTGTCACCATTTCAGAACTTGGCATTCGCCTGTGTAGAACTAGAGATTAAAACTGTGGACAGACACTATAGATAAAGACCTTCTGGAGGAGACTTCTTTCCCCTAACAGATTAATCAAATCACTGCACAAATGTCTAAAGTAGACTATTTCAACGTAAGTATTTAGGAATAGTATTGGTAAAAGAAACTTTAAAACCTGCGATTTCCTTACGCTACTTTAGTAAAGTAAGAGGGAATACCTTCATTACTAAAAAGAAAGTTTTTGTTGCCTAGTCTAGTGCACACAGACAACAGTGCCTGTGTATTTAAACATTAGCTCTGCAAGCTGCATAGTAATTTCCATCTACAGACAACCCAATAGTCTCAGCTTCTACATGAACAAAGAACTGCAAAACTGTGCTCTACCACACAAATCCTTGTGTTCCCAAAAATGCACACATTTATGAATGATCATAATTAACAGAACCATGCAGTTTGAAGAAAACTTAGAAGAGCAGCAGTTTTCTGAACCCGTTAGTGGAATGAGAGAGGATTAGAAGATCAGCTGTAGCGTGAGGGTAATGTACATGCCTACCATGTGGAATATACCAATCTCATTCCAGCTTTTGACACAGATAAACCATTTTAGAATTACCTCAACTGGAGACTTTTTTCCACATTAGTTATATCATGTAAATACACTGAAAGTACACATTGTGATGTGTTAGATTCAGTTGCATAGGCACCATGGAACAAAAACAAAGTGTCATGAAATATTATTAGCAAAGTTACAGATGAGGCTAGGAGCAGCTCCATACAGATGAACTCATCAATTATGATTATGTACACTTGTGAATCAAGTTTCTAAATCTTTGCACTTTTTTTTTTAAAAAGACAAGAATATATGCACTCAAAAGCAAATCTCTCGCAGGCAGACAGAACAGTCCAGCTTCACGAGCCTGTTTGGCAATCACATATTTTGAGTGTCAGTGACAGCTGCATACATCTTGGTTTAGAACTGACCATGTAAAAGCACAATTAAGAGTGGCAGGGTAAAAAAACCTAAAATTAAAAAAAAAAAAAAGAAAAAAAAGGTAAAAAACTCACATTCTGCTGTGCCAGCATGTGGCAGAGCTTTTCAGAAGACTCAGAGCAACTACAGAACTACAGCAAATCATCTTACTAGTACATCAGTACCAAGAGTGATCGTCAAAAATTCTGCATACTAAACAAATTATGTACAATGCAGTCTTTGAAATATAAACTCCATAAAGCAAAGAAAATGGTGAATGAAGAGAGAGAAAGTACTATAAAGACTTGTACTTCAAAAATAGGAGATATGACAAATGATTATATAGGTAGACAGACAAAAAATAATCTTATGTTTTTCCAAACGTGTTTAAGAATACATGCTTTTTGCTACTATGTTAATAGTAATCAACACTCCTCATCATTCACACCTCTTATCTCTACACTGAGCATATAATATTCTACAGTAGGCAAGCTCAATAGTTTTGTAGACACAACATAAAACATAAATTTAGCAACAATCAAAAAAATCTAACCTACTTACATCTCAAAACCATGGAAAATATCAAGTAACCATTCTGCAGTCTCATACATTACTGCATAATCACTGTATTTCTGAGTTGCAGACAACTGTTTTCTTTCCTGCTCTGAAATAAAAACAGCTTTCTCATCCCTGAATGATTATTCCTAAATTTCAATTTATCCATATTTATTACTGGGATAATTTCATAGGCCGTAACAAAAAGCACAGAGATAAGCACACACTTTGAGTAAGCATTTCCAGAGCATTTTTATGCATATCTTTGTTTCAGCAGATTCCTTGTTTACCTAAGCTGATTTTCAGCAGAAAAAATGAGGATTTCTTCAGTGTGCTAGTTTTGTTGATGGGAGCCCTGAAAATATAGTAGTATTATACAAATGCTCCCAGTTTCTTAATTTTCCTAGTCAATAGATTATTTCAGTACATTTCTTTCCTTAACCACTCACTACTGTCCCCCATTAGCATCCAATATATCTGGAACTCAAGCTCTGGCTGCAACAATTCAAATTCTCAGAACTACATCTCTGACGGAAATCAGTATTCGCCTAGAAATAATCTACTCTACTGAGAGTTAGTTGTCATTATGCATATCTCCACTAAGCATAACAACTATGGCATTTGACAGCTCAAAGAAACTTTCCATTTATTTCTAGAAGAAAGGATTTTATGCTCATGGATACTCATGAAATACAACTGATAAAATAACTAAGTTTTCCCTGCATCTGTATTTAGTTTAACTTACTTAACCTAAGCCTGCTGCTCAATACCCTTCTGCCTATCATTTAGGAATTAACTTTTAAAAGACCGTATGTACCACTAAAGCAACACAAAAAGATCACCTGAAGAGCCATGGTTAAAAGGATCACAGAAATTACCAAGGTATTGAGATTTGAAGAGGATCTTAATCTCAAGTAGTTGCATCAGATACAGAAAGACTTTATCTATACATTACTTAATTCTTATTTTTCAAATTATCAGTATGTAAATACTGTTTTCATCTTGTAACATGATACAACGCACTATATCCACACTTCAGCCACGTATGCCTGTTCCTAAGCACCACAAAGAGTTAGATGTTAATATTTCACTCATTGAGGTCACTTTGCACAAGTAGGTAAACTGATTCTGCTTCTTAGAACAATTAAAAGAAGATAAAATTATTTAAAAGAAAACAAAAAGGACAATTGAGTAATAACAGTTACAGGAATTGGGCAGAGTAAGTCTAGAACCAACACCTTTAGCTTTGATCCATGGGGCACAGAAGGATAACCATCTTGTCCAGGTGGAATGAACAACTCCCACTTCCCATACTCCATCTTCTTATATGGATGAGAAAAGGGATTCCAGCCATCTGCAATTTAAGAAATAATACTAAGTGTATTTATCTTAAAATGTGTCCAATTACAATCCAAAGGCATAACAGCGTGTTCCATCTTTTTCAGAATTAACTTCAGTGACAGCAGACACAAATACTTTCATATCTGATACTACCATACACATTTAAAAGAGGTTCAATAAAGTGTATGAGAATTTCATTAGGAAACCATACTCCAATTCTACTTTGATTAAATTATTTCTACTTTACCTTCTTTGATCAAAGTAAAAATAACCTCCTCCTGCCAAAAAAACACTACTGATGTTAATACCACAAAACCATGGTGGGATGAAAGTTAATGGCTGAAAAGTAGTGCTTAATGTTGAATTAAAACCAGAAACCTCACATCCTAAACAAGCCAGTAGAAATATTTGTTATAACACTACGGGGAAAAAAATAATTAGCAGCTGTTGATTATGGAGAGAGGACATGAGTTTGGACAAAATATAACTAAAACCAACCTCCACACATTGAATGCTCAAAACAGGTTTGGACATACACACTGCTCATTGCCTCTATTTTGAGAAGCTGATGTCCTATTAATAACTCATTAAGTGTATATAATAGGAAAAATAAAGGGGAAACTGCAGACAAGCTTGGTAGCAATGGCTAGGAAACCACACAATACCAGACAATGACAACACAGCCAGGAAATTTGGCCTAAAATGCCAGTTTTATTTCAATAAGTCTTGAAGAAGATTCCTTTGTCATTAAAAAATTTTAATGAACCAAGCTTAGATTCCATAATTCAAGATTCTTTGTCCTCTTTGGATTCACTGAGCACTGAAGACATGCAAGGTTGGTCATTATGACATGCCCAACTGAACAGACATCTGCCAAGAAGATCTTGTGTGTTTGTATACATGTTCAAGGTTAAGTCATATGAGTGAGACTGAATATAAACCTTCTGAATGGACAGACTTAGGCAACATAATCATTTTTAGGCTAGAAGGAAGTGGCAAGCCAAGTTTGAAGATTACTACATTACATGAAACATGTCTATCTCACATAGTTCAAGGCAACAGAGATTGCTAAACTAACAAAAAACCAGTCAACACAGAAAATTGAATTGCAAGACATTAAAGCAACACGTTAATCTTCCTTCATGCTAATTTTTTTGCATGCCATGTCCTGTAGTTAAAAAAAGTGGCTTACCCCTCAGTGACAGAAGAATAAGCAGCCTTCAGTGACCTATTTACAGGAGGTGCAGCACATGATCTTAAGCAGGCATTTTATAACAGCTAACAAACTGTTCACACCCTAAACTGTAGTTCCACTAGTTTAAGCTAGTACAAAACAATATTGCTACTAAACATGGTAGTCAGGGTTAAAAGCAATTAAATAAAAGAATGGACATGCCATTGGAGCAGGATCATTGCTTTTAGCACCATGGAAATCACAACAGGGGAGGTAGAGAAGAATTTACGTATGTTGATGAATATAGATATTTTCCAATAAATACCTGCTGTGCAACAAAAAGATAACCTTCTCTAACAATATATGGATGTCTTGAGTTTCAGAGAAAGGCTAGGCTGCTTTCAAAGTAACTTGCTAGTTGCTCTTACACAGCTGTTTAAACTTGAGAACTGCCAATCTTTAAAGAACAAAACTGAAAGGCACATATCAAACAGGCTAGACAATGTGACAAAAATAACTATGTAAGACAAATATTCTATTACCTATTCATTTTACAATAAAGAGCAATGTCAAAACCAATGAAGAGATTATTATAGTAAAACATCTCCTACACTCAAAAACAAAAATACAGTTAACTCAGTACTCTATTTAGATGATAGTTTTTATCACTATTAAGGTATTTAGATAGTGCAGACAGAAAATACACACATTAGCAGAAGGAAAGTATTTACTAAACTATTGCTTGATTAATAGCAGAAGAGCTTGTATATTAGTAAGATTTAGATGGGTCTTCCCCCTTGGTTTTACTCTGAAGTTTCAACAAAAAAAAAGAAACAAATACTACTAACATCTAAGGCTACTACAACCAACATCAAACAAACAATACCTTAGCATTAAAGCAATCCTCCTTAAAAGAATGTCTAAGCTGCAAACTATATATAGTGTATAAACACTATAATACATATATTTATTTTATTTCAGGGAATAGTAAAGAGATGTAGAATACATCACTAGGATTTTAGGGCTTGGGGGGAAAAAAAAAAGTCATGTAGCATGGTACCTACTGTGAGTTACAAGTCTGTCAGCAATCATCACTAAGAGAAGGAGAGGGGGACAGCAGTCACCTAAGGGCTCCTGAATGCTCCCAAAGCACTGAAGGTACATAAAGGGCAAAAAGGAAGTTGGAGGTAGAAAGTATGGCAATATATTATGCATAAACTAGGAAACTTACATGCTCATTTAGAACATATTTGCATAATCCAAGTGGCATTGATACAGTCCTTAAAGCAAAATGAATGACAGCTGAGGGGTACAGAGCCAGGTAAGACCCTGGAAGCCTACTGGAGGAACTGAAGACATCTGGAAGAACTTATCCCTGTGTCTGGATAATTACAGCACATTTTGTCCAAACCAGGACCTTAACTGGAGTATAACATCAGAAACAGTACCTAAACTTCAGATACCAACATATGGTAAGAACCCTATATCAAATGCTCAGAAAGAGCATCTCCAAACATCACTGCAACAACACCTTTTAACAGAAAAGCAAGAACAAAAACCACACAAGTGTGGTAAGAGTTAAAATTGACATTTTCTTTTAAACTGTAAACAGCTAAACTGTCCGAAACAAACAATTCGGGCAAAAATGGGAAAACAAAAGAAAGATGAAAAAAGTAGCAAACATCTTAAGTTGCAAGATGACTACTTTAAGGAACCTGTTAGGATTTATGATATTCAAGACCTTCTTATGGGAATTACTACCAACTCTTTCAACCTTCTCCCCTCCCCAGACATCTGATCATCTTCATTACTTTTGTGAAAATCTTTCCAATTGAGCTGTATCTCTTGATTACAATGCATGAACTGAAACAAATACGCCAGGTGATGACTTGCTAATACTGAGCAAAATAAAAAGTTACAGCAAAAGTCTTAGGCCCAGTCTCTAGAAAACTCACTTGGGGAAATTGCCTGAAGTTAAGTTGATTTCATACATGAACACTGAATTTTTACGTTATTCCAAAAAAAATTCTCATGACCTCTGTTACAACCACCTCTTCCCTCCTTTAGAGAGGAATGGTTGCATCTCTACCCATTTAAACACCTCTGCTCTCCACAGGCAGCTTTAACAATTCTGCTCAAGTTCCTTACACTTTCCTCTCCACCTGCTAGCAATATTGGATGCCTCTGTTAATCTTTCCTCTTCTCAGCCACAGTCCTTCATTACTGGGTGTCTGTGGCTCATGACTTAAGAATAAATGCAAAGCAATACCCACCTGTCCCAGATGGTCCTACTCAAAACCACTGTTTACTACTTACCCCTGGAGAAGAACTCATTTAGGAAAGTTATAACTGAAAATATTACTTTGTATTAAGGCAAGAGGCATAAAAAGTTAACACACGTTTTAGGAGAAAAGGACACCATCATGGAAAATCTGTAAGCCATACACAAAGACAAGAGCTTCTATACCAAAGTTCAGGCCCCAGATATGTCTTAATCCAACATGGAAGACATCTTGAATAGCCTGGTACTTTTTGTTTCTCTCATCTCTGACTAATCTTCCAACACCAGCCAGTTATTTAAACATTACATCCTACCTCAGCAACATGAGGCACAAGGGAACTTCTTGCTCAGAACTGCACTCTTAGCATGCCAAAGAATCACGAACTGAGCTTTAATCTAGAACTAAATTCAAAGGTATAATGGCTTGGACTTTACCATTGGTCATTAAAAATCAATTTAAACGCGATACTTCCAGCTAAATCATAAGTTAAGTGACTTCTTGTTCCATCTGGTTTTATTTTCACCTTGACAAATATATAGCCATACATCTCTGAGGCTCATGGCTTAACTTGGAGTTTCATATCAGAAATTAACACTCCTCTTGCTTCACATAGGGGAAAGGAGTACTTCTTGCATACTTACCAAATTATTCACTTGTTCCACTGTAAGAGCCAATACATTAGTGCAGTGTTGTAACTATTTTTTCAGAAGTGCAAAAACTTTATATACTGAGGTTGAATTCTCAAGTACAATAAACTCATTTCTACATTCCACATACTTCTGAAAGATGCTCAAAGAGAATGCAGAGTCCAGCAAGCATTCACACATCTTCCTTGAGGAAAAGATATCAGACAAATAGCAGTTCAGACAAGGGAAGGGCATCAAAATCCCATTATCCCACAAGATACCTTTATACCATTTGCTTGGAATATGAAATCAGAACATAAATTGAGAGATTCTCTAAGGGCACTATACTGCTCTACACAGTGGCCAATTAGGTCTTCCTCTTTCTACATTGCCCGATTTCTAACAGCTCAATAGCAGGGTCATTAACATAATCTGCTTAAAAAGTGATTAAACAGCTCAAACACTGACATAAAAACAAATGTCATTACTTCTCAGATAGGATGCCTCCCTGGATATTAATAACAGCTTATACTTCAGTCTACTACCTTCAGTTGTCTGCAGCCACAGAAGTACAGTACTATTTGACTTTACTCATGAAATCTACGTATTTTTCTACAAAAATCTTTGAAGAAAGTAGTAAGAACTTCAGTATCATATCATAGTAGTATCTAGATTCCATTTAGGTAAAAGTTTAAATAATAAACAAACTTCCACCCCAAAACCAACCAGCCCACCCTTCCTCCACCCTCCAGCCCCAGCAGAAGCCTTCCCCACCACTGCAAGAAAAAGGAAGCAGAAACCAAAACAGACATTCCAGAGTGATCGACATTTTAGATCCCATGTTAGCCAGGAGGGAGGGGAAGGCAGGGAAAAGAAAAAAGGGAACTAAAGAAGAGAAACCGCAAGTATGACAATATATTATATAAAATACTGACTTCCAAGTTAGCATATACATACTTACTCTTTCAAGCTTCCTAAAGCCAGTAACTGTTTTTTTAATTAAAATATTGTTTACAGATAACCTACTGAGTCTCTGGATGGCCAAATACAATTTTGAGTGTTCTAATTCCCAAACAAGTTCCGTGGGTTACCCTCAAAACTTGGCAGTTCAGTGACTTATTTTGAAATCGTTGATTGTAAAGTAGCAATAAATTGCCAGTAGTCACCAAGCTCCTCAGCCATACAGCATACAAATAAGATATTCAGCGTGTTACCACAGAGAGTTTTTAAGGTACCTATAATGTTGATACTGCCTCTAGTATCAGAAATTCAGCTAATTGCCTCATACACTTGATTCACTGAGAGGCTAAAAGTACTAACTGAGAAATCTTAAATGCTTTTCAATGTTCATTTAAAAACTTTTCAGATAGAGTAAAGCATCATACCAGAATACCAAAGAAATATAATATCTTTTTCTCTCCAATTATGGAGTATTAAAGAAGAGACAAAAAGAACTCTGAAAGTATTGGGGTTTTCTTGAATTTATGTTCTTCATTCTCCAATCCAAATACAGATTTGTGTGCTATTACTAGATTCTATCTTTTTTCCAGAATGCAGTGATACTAAGAATTATTCTATAAATAGGAGCTATCCCATTCATTACAAGAATGAGGTACAAATATACCATAATTTAGGCCAAAATATCTTAATATCAAAGCTTTTATTGTCTGCTATAAGGCATAAAAGTAATTCACAAAAAACTTTACATTTGCAGGACTGATGCTTCACATGTATATATAGTTACAGAAATAAGTTATTCATGTTTATCTTAAGCACAGTTCATAATAAATCTATTATCAACTATCAGCTTAATTATAAATTCTCAAAGAAGTTTAAGTTCTCCATAACACAGTCTGCACTTGCCACTATAATTTTTTATAAATTTTTGATCCTCAAAAACTTATCGGATTAAATATCAGGGACTAATATTTTGTGTCATTTCTTGTGTCTTTCCATCAAACACCTAAGACACTCGCAGACAATACCATATTATTAAATAAAACGGTATGAGAAAAAGCTGCTATCCATCTCCCTACATGAGAACTAAAAAACAAAGCATGAATTGACTGGTTTTATACTATATGCCATCATATTTCAGTTTAAAACCTAAAGAGCTTCTGTCATTTAAGTTCCATGTTTGTTTCTTTGTATAAGACTTCCAACTCCCCCCCAAATGGTTGTTACAGTTCTCTTTATGAAAAGCTGAGTTTTATAAAAAAATTCTTATTAAAAACAATCCTGATATTCAATTTAAATACAATATAATCATAAATTTAGTTTGAGACTTTAACCTGCTTGAAAACTTAAAGAAAGGTTAAAGGGATTCAGTTTTAATTAAACATATCTGTAGCAACCTGAATCTAAGTCTTAGGGTTTTGCAACCCAATTTCTCATCAGAATATTATTAAAGCTCATCTCAATTGAATGACAGTCTTCCATTCCTCTAGGCTTTCTGAGTACACTATCTTCCCCTTTGGGAATGAATACTTTACTATGACTGACGAATATGATATATAAGACAAATGCTTTTTTTCCCCCACATTAAAGTGATTTTTTTTTTGTCTTTTGACTTCTTACTGCCACATTTCATTAACATGCAGATACAACTACTCTAAGATATTAGTTCTAAATTTCTTCTGTCGTATGATGTATTACATGAAATATTTTAAATTAAGTAGAGTTTAGAAAACCACTGCAGTTTTTAGCTACTGTATTCTAGTATGTGTGCTTCCCTCCCCAACTTGCCAAGCCAATTTACAAGTTATATCCTCTTTTTAAAACACTAGTTAGTAACTTCATTAAAAGTCTGTTTTTAAAATGGCTATCTATTAAAAATACATTAAAAAATGTATTCTAGTCTTCAACTGTGTTGAGTAATTTAACTTAAAGACAATATTATACCCATCACACAAAATCCTTGAGTAAAGGGTGGGGTTGCAAGGAGTAGAGGAGGGGTAAGGAGGAGAATTTTCTGTGTGTTTATACATATCAACTTGAGCTATTAAAATATCCTCATCTAGCTGTCTTGCAGTCAGTACTGATAGCTGGTATAACTATAATCTAGCAGCAGGTGAACTATACTCGTGATTCATTACTCATTTTTGAATCTGAAGACATATGATTCCCATATTAAAATTATTTTTATATATTTATATATTCCCATATTAAAATTCAAGTACTGCACTAACCTATTTTATCAATGTCTATTTATCATTTATTTATAAATAATATCAATAAAAAGAACAAGGAGTATTTCAAGGAAAGTTACTCCATCATTCACTAGGTTAACTATCAAACAGGAGCATGTTGCACTAACTTTTCTGTTTGTCTTCCGCATTAAAAAAGATTTTTCTAAAAATAATAATTGTCTATAGACTCAAATTATCACAGTGAATAGTGGACACAGACCCTCCCACTGAGTTCTTAAGAAAAAGAGAAAATACAAAATTGCTGACAATTAAAATAGGTGCATTTTATGACTGATGTTCAGAAACTGAAGCTATAACATGAATATTTAGACACTTTCTTTTGCCTGTTCCATTTATAAGCATATTGATCTTGGGACTATGGAAAAACAGTACTAAAAGAGTACTGTTTGCTGTGAAGCACTGAAAAAAATCTTAACAATGGATCTGAAAAACACTGCCAGGGTAGTACATTTATTGCTGTATTACTGCACACATTTTTACAGAAGCTTAACCATAATACTTTAGAAAGCACCACCAGATACTACAGCTAATGGCATATGTAATGAGTCTTATCATTTTAAAATTATATAAGCAAATACAATTTCAAGTTCATGACTTCCTTCCTCAAATCCAGAGTTTGCCCTTCTAATAGTTTCCTCAAACAGGAGTAGGGAAGAACGAAAACTCAACATCTAAATTTTTGTTTAAGCAGTAGTTAACTGCCTCAAATGGGCAATTAATATTTTTTTTGTAATATAAATACACACACTGAACATTCACCAGGTAAGTATTTCTGCAAAACAGAAGTTGGATAAATAACACTGCATACTTTTGAAATGCAGTTAAATGAACAAAATAATTTCACAGATAAAGTCCCTGTAAGAGCTAGTAACAAAATTCCTAGCATCTTGATGGACTAATACCTAACCCTGAAGAAGGGATGGAGTAGAGAGGTGAAAGGGAAAAGACAGAACAAAAACCCCCAAAACCCCAAACAAAAAGGACCAAGTAGAATTAGTATTGCAGGATTTAAGAGCAAAAATGCATCTGACTCCCATTTAAGAATTTGAGGAACATGATTTGAGTGTAGCTAGCCTTCCGAATGAGGAGCAAGTTCATATTTGTCTCAAGTTCTAAGTGTATCAACATGTGCTGGTTTTGGCTGGGGTAGAGTTAATTTTCTTCACAGTAGCTGGTAAGGGGCTGTGTTTTGGATTTGTGCTGGAAACAGTGCTGATAACACAGGGATGTTTCAGTCACTGCTGATCAGTGCTCACACAGTGCTGAGGCCTTTTCTGCTTCTCACACCACCCCACCAGCGAGGAGGCTGGGGGTGCACAAGAAGTTGGGAGGGGACACAGGCAGTTGGGACAGCTGACCCCAGCTGACCAAAGGGATATGCCATACCATATGACGTCATGCTCAGCATAGAAAGCTGGGGGAAGAAGGAAGGGGCAGACATTCGGAGTGATGGCATTTGTCTTCCCAAGTCACTGTTACGCGTGATGGAGCCCTGCTTTCCTGGGGATGGCTGAACACCTGCCTGCCCATGGGAAGCAGTGAATTAATTCCTTGTTTTGCTTTTCTTGCGTGCGCGGCTTTTGCTTTACCTATTAAACTGTCTTTATCTCAACCCACAAGTTCTCACTTGTACCCTTCCGATTCTCTCCCCCACCCCAGCGGGGGGGAGTGAGCAAGTGGCTGTGTGGTGCTTAGTTGCCCGCTGGGGTTAAACCACAACATCACAGTAAGCAATGCAATTCCTCCATGTAATCCTGCCACCTTCCTGTTCTACTAACATCCTTCCTTCTGCTCCCCTCAAAACGGAACACCACCTATTCATTCCTAAGTATCTTAGTTTGATTTCAGGTCACCATTTTCCAGCAGGACTTTTGTCTACACTCATGATTAGTGGGAGTTTCAAAGGGCCTCGGTCCTTGGACAACACTGCTGCTAGATCAAAGATAAAGCAAATTATTCCACTGTTATTTGTTCTTCTCTGCATACAGTTTTATATAAGCCTACCTGTAGAGCTTTAGGAAGAACCTCAGGTAGTTTAGACACATTCAGCCTAAAGCTGCAGTGTGATCAGGCTAGAACCTTTAGACAAGTCACAGCCTTATGGGTATTAAAAAAATAAATAGATATACATAATACTGACCATACAATAGAAACACCTATGTTCTTAGGCTACTGCAATATAGAGTAAATTAATAGTTTAAGTTATGAGATGCCACTACACCAGTCAGCCACTACGTACACTTTTACTATCAGAATTTCATCATTGCTACAAAATTGTCTTTAAGTGAAGAGGGTATTGATCACAGTACAGGAGAGAAGAAATATTCCTAAAAATACTTACTGAAGTCACCCGCAAGAAACACTGCTTCTGCTCCCGGTGCCCACTCTTTGCAATATATTCCACCATCCACAAATTGGTTAACTCCAAAGGTTTTGTAACATTTTGAAAATTTATCAAGGCCTCCTTCACTTTCCTCAATGTTCTTCAAGCGGTTATAAAACAGGGAATACCTTTCAATGAAAATAGATAAAGTTTTTTAGAACTTTCAGTAAGTGACTTTCTTACATTAACAGTAACAAGTGTAAGAACACAAAAAACCCACCATTGAGACACACTGTCACATTATGTCCTAAGACTACAATATCAGATTCACTGTTCTCTACAGAAATAGGAAAAAAAAAATCAAATACAAACCATACAATGGTTGTTACATAGTGCAAAGTTGCAATCTTCACGTTTGTCTGTATTTTTTTCTACTTTATGGGAACAGTTTGCACTTTAAGTCTAAGACTACAACTCCTGATTGGCAGTCAAGAAATCATAGTATTACTACACAACAGGAGAACTTCACACTCTGAACAGCCTAGCACTTTTTCCTCCATCTTATTAATATTGGACACAGGCCTCCTAGGGAGAATTGTATAGCCCTGCCACATCTCTCACAGCCAATTTTAATAGGCAATCTCAGGACACTGAAAAGTTTTCAGTACAGCATATGGTGAGTACGGAGAAAGTAGTCTGGCACTTGCAGAAAGCAGCTCCTCAGGCAGCCTGTCTACAGAGACCATCAGCAAAGAGTTTGGAGTCCCCTGACACTGCAACAATTTGGAAAACAAAGTTACCATTTTGTGGAAGTAATTATTACCCTACCTACCCTGGTAGGACATGGAATGGCCTAAACCTCTAACATAAAAATTTACCAGTGACAGTTTGGAGGTGGTTTTGGGGGAGTTTTGGTGTTTTTTGTTGGTTTTGGTTGTTGTTTTGGGTTTTTTTAACTTATTTTGCTATGTTTTCTCCAACAAGCTCCCATCAATTCAAGAAACACACATCAGGTGCACAATATAAACAAGAAGGTCAACTTTGACTCCTAAAACATGAGCTATTATGTAAAGAAGCACAGATAAAAGCTTCAGTTGAGAATTTTATTAGTGCTACCTGTACAGTTTGTTTGTTTTTAAATAAGACATCCCCAATGTGTTTGTGTTCTCCATAAATGTAAAGGAGTCTTCCGAAGTGTATAAAAACTAGTAAGAATCACAGTAAGACCAACCTGTCTGCCTCATTACACTTACTGTATTTTGAAAAAGGAAATAGAAACAGTAAAGAAGCAAAACAGCACTATGGGATGATACCTTGTTGGGGTGGAGTGGAGGGAAGAAGAGAGGTAGTCTGTCTGCTGTGTCAGGACTTAAGACACTGCTGATTTGTTTTAAAGCTTTGTGTTTTAGAATTGGCCCTTAATTAGTTCAAAGTAGAAGATTAAAATGTCTATTTAGTGGTTAAGGTTAAAAATAACATTATGTACATTAGAGTACTATGACTACTTTCAAGGTTAATTTCCCAGCAAGTTTTTATTATGAAGACTGATGCTCACCTTTAAAGACAGCAAGATTTGAAAAATGCCTCAGGACACACTATAGCAAATACATTTGTAACTTTTTGCCCATCCACCTGCATCGTTCCTTTAAAATTTGCTCATGGGTATAATCCTCATAAGCGCATTACTAACTACTACTGCTATGATAATCAGTTTCATTTATAGTGCTTGAGGGAAAATATTTTGTCAGATTTCCAAGTATGGAAATCTTGGAAATGTTGACTGACTTAAGTTTTAACCAACTGCAATCACAGAAAGATTTATATAAATAAAGTTTAAATACAGAAACACAGAGCAAGTCAAACAGCCTCAAAAGTTCAACATATGACAATTGGTAAAGGCAAAATTACTCCATTTATTGAAGGGTTCTCCCTGAAAAAAAAAAAAGTAGTGTTTTGATTTGTATAGGGGTTTTTTTAAGTTTTAAGCCTTCCTTTAAAATATACCGATTATATTATACAAGAACACTATCTGCAAATTCCAGTTTCTCAGCTATACATAAGCTCTTTCAAAATTGCTGCCTGTCATGTATTATTTTTAACTAGTTCCACTGCAGCTGAAGCAGGAACCCTTTTGTATATGCTGTAGGTAGCTGTTATAACTCCAGAAAAGATTTAACTGAAGCAATGAATTTGACACACTTAAAATACAAAAGGCATTTTGGAATAGGTTATCTACTTAAAATTAATCTTACACACACTATGAAAACGTATTTGTACCAAGTGTTTTAAGAACACCTTTGGCTGGATGTGGTATTTCCCACGTTCAGGAAGAAGTAGAAGTGGTAAGCTTCATCTTTAAAACAAAAGTCATTCCTCTCCAGCTTTCAAATATTTCTATGACTGAGATGATACATTTATTAACAGAGAAGAACAGCAGGTCACAGAAAAGGACTGAAATTTCTGTGCAGAAAAGAAAAAGGCTATGATAATCTTCATATAACCTAGAGGCACACATATGCTGACTGCTTACTACTCTTTCTCCATGAGTCCTCCCTAGCAAAGGGGAAATCAAACCCATTCATCTCATTCTAATGAAATAAGCAGCAAACAGGTTTAGGATTTGAGAGAGAGTTTATGGGGTGGGAGGGATGAAAATGGACTTTCAGAAAGCAATTATAAAATTAATGTCTTTGGGGAAAAGTCACTGTAAGCTCTGGATTCTTGTTACAGCAGCACTAAGAGTACATCCACTGTTTCAGTTTTTGTCTTTCAGTAAATTCAAAGTTTAGGCAAACAAAGAGACCACAACACTTAATATGTGAAGTGATCGTGAGTATTACTGTAAAAAAAACCACTATTTTTTGCTCGCTTTGCAACAGTGGTGAGCAAGATTACATGCTCAATAAAAACAATTTTTTTTGGAGGACAGGGGTCAAGGAAGGAAGCAGATTAGAAGAGTTGTTGATCAGGGATGTAAAACACTATTACAATAATAGCTTTTTATATAGATTTTGAACAAGTAATACGGCATCATGTACATAGATTACAAATGCTCCTTCAATTTGTATACAAGCACGCTGCTTGTGATAGAGCAAGTTAATTCAGGTACTACTGCTGCATCACCATTGCAGAAATCATGATTATTCGAACAACTAGTGGTCTCCATAATTGTTTTTAGATTATATTCTAGAAAGCATTTAGTTTTAATTTTTTTAACCACCTCCTGAAATTATCAAATATAGAATTGTAGTTTGCTCAAAGTTCATGAAAAACCCACCGGCTTCTGAAATGGATCAATTACTTGTGAACTATTTTAAAAACTCATCTCAGGAGATTAAATACATCTGGACACAGAACAAGGTTACCTGTCAAAGAAGGTCCTTGTAAGACAGCAGAAGCATAGTTCTGTATCCTGTTGCTGCTTTAAAGGAAAAGATTCAGTTAAGTGCATTCTCATGATCCAGATTCAGGAAGCTTAAGGTTTTGCTTTCACAGAAATTTTGGCTTTCGTTTCTGTATTACTGAAGCTTGTTAAACATTTTTAATCTTCCAAACTGAAACCCCAGGATTACACACAAAGCGACAATAAAAAATTTTGTTCAACCAATTCCAAAGATTTATACTGTTTACTAATAGCACACAAGTGTTAAAAAGAGGAGAGGTAGACATTAGATTGATGAGACTGCATCTTGTGATCCCCTCTTAACACTGAAAGTTATGTCATATTCAGTTATGCATATATACTCATATGACATATATATAGTCAGACTCTGGACACAGGACACATTTCAAAGGTGAGACAATCTCGTAAAACTTTGGACATGTGAATAGTCAACAACGGCATCCAGAGCTACAAGTCAGGACAAAAGGCTGAATTCTGCCTTCATACTTTTCAAGTCTTCACAGCTTAATGAGTAACTGCAAAGTCTTGAGATTTTTCTACTTCCCTGCGTTAAAGTTGACACTGAAGAGTATTACAAGGTAAAAACCGTACCCAGGTATGCCTTGAAAAGTACAACCATTACTTTTGGGACAAAAAAGCTGAATAGAGCAACAACAGGATCTACAGAACTTCAGGTACAGAGGGTCTGAAATAACTGGAAAAAGTCATACATTAAGTCCCTTACTACAGCCAGGTACAACAACACACATCTGACAAGTGCGGACAAGGGGGCTGCTTTTGGTGTATCCCTTGCTCCGGGAGTTCTTATGAAGAAGCAAGCTTTTCAAGTCAAGCCACATATCCATTCATCTTGCCTCTGTTAACTGACCAATGGGTTTTAAAGCTAAAAATACTGAAATTAGGTGGTTTCTTCAGACTTACTGGAAACAAGTACTTCATATTCTTAGCATTTCCCCAAGCACACATACGCCCAGCTTGAAACAAGACATTTGTTAACAGAACTATTAACTTTTACACCAGCATTTTTTCCCCTCCTCTACCATTATTTCACTATGAAATACTAGTAATCGTAAACATCATTTGCAACGGGGTCACAACAGTCTTTTCTATTGTTATATTCATAATTTGTAACACAGCATTACTTTAAAATCCCACGCTTTATATACAGCTTTGCTTAAACTCTTACAATAGAAGTGTAGGAATTGGCTGACTTTCTATAGAAGCAGGATTAAAACATCAAACATGAATTAGTATAATGGCTATCCAGAAAGCAAATATCTTGCCAATAAAATAACCTTCATAGTGAAGGAGTAAAGACAATATTAACTCAGTAGCCACTTCAAGGGTTTACATTTCAGGTGAGCACTTATCCCTCACACTTCTACCACTAAAACACCCTCAAATATTTTGTCTTACAGATACCTAAAGATCTAAAACTTATACAGTAGAAGTATACAGTTATCAGAAAAAAAGATGGCCTGAAATCTTTCAGTTCAATGCAAATCTATACAGTTCTTTTCCAAAGAAATAATGTTCTATTTATTTGGTAACGATGATATACAAAACCCTCCTGATGCTGCAGTTCCTGTCACCACTGACTTCATTCAGCTGTTGATCCCATTAACTCTCAGGCATATGTTAAAATTAGTAGCTTAAATATGGAGCATAAGAATAAAAGAGTTAAGCCCCCCCCTCCTCCCCAAAGACAACTGCATTAGTGAAATAAGACTTGGCAGACTATTGAAGAAGTCTGATGGTAAGTCAGAACACTGAATTGGGGCTCACATAAAGCCTTCAGGTCTTTATTCTTCCAGGCAACCAGAGGTTGCTGCTACTAACTCACTCCTTCCTGGCCACCTTGTAAAATGACAAAAAGGTATTCTAATATTTTAAACTTTTAGGTTTAGCCATATAAGCTTTAGGTTCTTAGGCATCACAGTAATCTAAACAGAAACAAGTATAATCAAAAAGGCCTTAGCAGCATACAAGATACCCTCATTTAATCAGTCTGATGCTAAACTCCAAGATGGCTACAAAACTTCAAGCCATTTTTATGACCATTCTCATACCTTTTTATAAAGTTGTAGTTATTGCAGTTTATAGAACAGACAATCAACTTATTTTAAGACCTGTGGTGTCAACACTGAAATTAATCATTTTAGTCCCTCTTCTGCTTATGATGCTGATTTTAGTAGCTATTCATCTTTTAGATTCCTTTTGTCCACACCAGCTTTTGTGTCATAATTTATTGCTACAATATTGGCCTAGTATTAATGCTAATTTATTCAAAACATGAAAGCAAATAGGAGAGACTTTGATAATTGGTGTCCACATAGAAAGCCCAATTCTGCAGATACCAAAGCAAAAAGGATATGAAAGAAAATGCCCAGTAAGGTACTCTCTGTAGCCAAATCCTTCCATTTTGCAATAAATACAAACATTTACAGTAATGTCAGTGTTAAAATAAAGCTACAGTCTAAATGAAAATAAAACTCCCAGCTACTTAAGTCTGTTACATTTCTTTACACTTCTTCCAATGTAGGTGTTGGAAAGACTAAAATACCAAAAGCAGAAAGGGAAAAATTGTTTGTTTTCCCCCCTTCCTCCTCATTTAAACAACAAACCTCAAGAAAAACTGTTCTAGATTTTGAGATCCCACTTATCCTATTTATCAGCTTAATCCTGAAGCCTCTTAGGGGAATGCTGCCTCTTATTTTCATCCTGCTACTCTTCCCTGCCACAGAAGAAGCTGTATCAGCATTACAGTAAAACAGGGAATAGGAGAGCAAAGAGGACACCAAATCCTGTCTTGTACCATCACTGACGTATCATGAACAACGCTATTCATCAACTTACTGTGATTTCTGAACTCCATTTTCAAAACCGCCTTGGGTCCCCCCACACTTATTACTATGACTGGAAAACTGGTACAGCACTTTGCTGAAATTGTAGGATCTTCTTAACAACCCCACACAGCAGCTCTGTTTGAGGGCTAACATACCATCATCCTCTGCTCCAAAATTACACTGACCCGAAATTCTCCTGCAGCTTTCCAGTCATAGTACTGGAATGTACTGGCAATGTGAAACTCATTTACCTACTGATATGGACAGACCATCAAAACATTCCCTGTTTTGGTATAGATCCACTCTATCTTATGATCCATGTGGACAATCAAAAGGGTAAAAAAAACTGTAACAGAAAACCCCCAAATCATCAGTGTAGATGCACCACACTTTCACCAACGTAATACCATTTACAGATTACTTCCCTATAGGATGAGGAATAAACGGTCACAGTTTTTAAAGGTTTATTTCTCCACAATAACGTATTATTCAAATAAAGCCACACTTTGAAATTTGGCAAATAAGGAATTGAAAATTGCTGATTTTAGTTGTGATAGTCTACTGCAGGAACATGAGAAAGGATTAACAGCTAGTTTTTGAATTATATACCAAGAAAGGCTCAGGAGCTGCAGTTCTCCTCCTGACATCACAGGCAGCCCATTCTTTAGAGAATGATGTCCAAGATCTTGCAGTGCTGTCATCAACTAGCAGTGATGGGTATCATCTAAGTGCCTACGTTGAACATGTAAACAGCAACTGCTTCTTTAAAAACCTTGATAGCTATGGAAGAAGAGCAACTGTTTGAAGATATGATGTTAACACTTAGGTCAAACTTCTGTACTTAAGCAGCTCTTACCACTATGCATCTAGTCAAAAATGTTCATCTGCAGCAGTAAAATTTGCGCAGAAAACTGTTATAAAAACAGACTTCCCTGTGGTCTGCCACAATCCTCAGGGTAACTAGTCAAATTCAACAAGCAACATGCTGTGGTATTTCATAGACCCTGCCTAAAAAATAGGCATTCCTACCTCCAAATTTGATCGGATACATCTATACAAAGCCACATGGTCCAGGCTCACCGGATCAGGGGCACTAGCTTTTTGATCTCCACACTGCAGTCCACTGTGTGCAACAAGTATCTTTAATCACCATTAGTAAATCACAGAAGTGGTAATTGCCACCTCATGAAGCACAGCTGTAAGGTCTCTGATAAAGACTGTGCTGAACTCTCACTGAGTTTTCCTGGAAAGCCAGAGCAGAATTAATTTCTTTCAAGGTAGTCAAAGGAGGAACACGTGGGAATATGAAACTGGACAATCCTGAAACAATCATCACTAATAATGCCCATTTCTGTTCCTGCTGTGACCCCTACCACTTCAAAGAAGAAAAAGAATAAATGAAAAGATGAAAATAGAAGTTGAAAATGTACATGCAACACCTCTGAATATCTCAAAATAAAGAGCATGGGGCTGTTCACAAGTTACCTTTTCTAATATTGCTGCTATCACTTTGAAGATGCAGTTACAAAATTTTCACTGACACCGAAGCCAGTGCAGAGTCCCTGCTCAGATTAGTGAGTCCCCAATTCTCATCTTCTCCTTTGTTCTGTAGTTAGTTATTCCCTCAAACTGTCCTCATTCAGCTGCTTATAAGGGGGGATGGATTGAAGGAAGATAGGAGTAGGATGGATCAAGTTCTTCCTAAAGCAAATTTCTGCAGTCCAACAAATCAAAGACAGACCGTGTTGAACTAGAATTATGTGGCAGAAGCAAATTCCTGTTTGCAGTTGCTTCTTCAACTTTATTCATCTCTAGTGAAAGTATATCAAAACAGAAGCCTTGGATTTTATTTCATTCTTTTCTCCACCTCACTTTTCATTTGATTGTTCAGAGTATTACACAAAGTAATCACACTTAAGGAAAATAGTAAAGGCACAGTAAATGTCAGGTAAGTACAACTACTTCAGAACAGCAGACTTACTGTATTTTAACTTATATCAACTTTATAGTTTTAGATGATTGACTTGCACTTTCTGCATAGAGAAGTCCTGTCTCATTCAGGTAATCTTTTTAACATACATTTAAATAGGTTAAGCAACATCTGAACACGTGTAACCTTTGAAGTGTTAGAAGAATTCTGAGAGATATGAGATATGCTCTAGAAATACAGGATAGCAATAGCTGATGTTTACGCAGATCAAGAAAGAG